GAGCTATCATCTCACTTCACTTAGAATGGCTGTTATCCAGAAGTCAAAAAATAACAAATGCTGGTGAGATCATGGAGGAAAGAGAACGCCAATATCCTGTTGATGGGAATGCAAAGTAGTATAGGCATTGTGGAAGATGGAATGGAGATCACTCTGAAAATGAAAAATGAATTTACCATAGGACCTAGTTCTTCTATTTCTTGGAATACATTCAAAGGAATTCAAATCAGCTTATGAAAGAGATACCTGTACTCCCACATATATAGCAGGGCAATTCACAATACCAAAGATATGGAATCATTCTTGATATCCATCAACTGATGGCTAGATAAAGAAAGTGTATATATACATGATGGAATATTACTTAGCCATAAAAAAGAATGAAATGCTGACATTTGCAACATAATGGATGAAACTCGAGATCATTATCCTAAATGAAATAAGCCAAAGACAAATTCCATGTTTTCTCTTACATGTGAACATTTATATATATATATATATATATATATATATAAGAGGTATATAAATATGACATATATATATAGAGAGATAAAATGTATGATTTCATATTGTTTGGTATATAGTTATAAATGTATTAACTGCATTATACTATCTACATAATAATATACCCTTCATTCTTCACTTTGTGATCCTTATTCTGAATTCCACATTATATGATAATATCCATGTTTTCAAGAAAAATAGCATATTTGTGTACATATATAATACCTACAGAGGAAATGAATATGGCAAAATGTTAAAATTCGTGGTCTAAAAATTTTTTAAAATCTAAGGGGAAAATTATTTAATGATTAATGTTTATTTTTAAGATCTAGTGATGTGTCTGTTTTTTAAAAGATTTATTTATTTATTATTTGAAAGGCAGAGTTACAGAGAGACAGAGGTGGAGAGAGAGAGAGAGAGGACTTCATCCACTGGTTCACTCCCCAAATGGCCACAATGGCAGGAGCTGGGCTGATCTGAAACCAGGAGCCAAGAGCTTCTTGTAGGTCTCCCACGTGGGTGAAGAGGCCCAAGGACTTGGGCCATCTTCTACTGCTTTTTCAAGCCATAGCAGAAAGCTGGATCGGAAGTGGAGCAGCCAAGACTTGAACTTGTGTCCATATCGGAAGCTGGCATTGCAGGTGGCAGCTTTACCCGCTATGCCACAACATCGGTCCTGAAAAAATTAATGTTGATAATACAGGAGGTTGTGCCTGTGTTTGGGTGGGGATTATGAGAATTATCTGTACTTTCAGTTTTTCTGTGAACCTATTACTTCTCTAAAATGTATTTAAGTAAATAAATAAAATTTGAGAATAAAAAATAAAAACAATCTAACATAAGCTGTTGAATTTAGGAGCCACAGAAGTTATAAGAAAAATGAAAATTAAAATCATTGCTCTTTTTTTACATGATGGCATGGATAGTTTGGCTTCAGTGAATTCAGAACTTCATTTCTTACCTTGAATGGCATGTATTGCTCTGAAATATTTATTGAAAGATATGTAACTGTAGTAAAACCCACAACTTGTATGAAACAGTATTTCCTTTGTGTTCTATTTGCACAACAGGGCTGGGTTTTTGTTTTGTGTGACCACACTCAGGAATCTGGATACTCTCTTGCAGCTTTGCTGTCATATAAATTGGAGGAACTGTTTTTGTGTCAACAGAGCAAGGAGTCAGTGAAATAACAAACAGAATAGTCATTTCTTAGTATTTTCATATAGATCAAAATATTTCCCCTCAAAACTTTTATGAGATATTATCAATATATTGCATATGAATAAGTTTAGGCTAAGCAGGATATGAGGATTAATAATACCTTGTTGATTGTTGCCTTTTTCAAAAACAGTCTATATTGATGAAAACAATAGAAATTTGTGGATAGCAGTGCAGGGAAATTTAATTTGAAGGCAATGGGAAGTTAAAAATCTTTCTGAGTTGGGGAATGGTAGTATGCAAACTAACTTAAGGAAAAATGAACTGTGACGATGTGTTTTATGAGTTAGAATGGGAATCCAGAGACTGTAACAGGTTTTGGAATGTTTCAACAATAAGGATGTGTAGTCCTAACAGCATAAATTGACATGCATTTTAAGTATTATATGGATCATATGGGTAGGATTAAGTGTTAAAGTGATCATATGTATAGGATCAAGTGTTCGATAATAATAATAGAATTAAAAAGAAGTGAATGGTCCAACATGGGAAGCAGTCCATACAGCAGACTCATAGCATGACAATCTCCTTAAGTCGCACTCTGTCCTCAGAATCAGCACTTAAGGCTTCCTGGTCTGGTTGAAAAGCCCATAAGAGCATTTCAGGCATGGAAAGCCAAGACACTATGGCAAAAAGAAATGTTCTATGTGAAGGATTTCTGTGAGAGAGACCCCAGTGGAAAGAAGTGGTCATCAAAGAAGGATGTACTTTTTTCTGAAGGGAGGAGAGAACTTCCACTTTGCTTATGGGCTTGTCTAAATATTGACAGAGGTTGTGGATCCAAAAGGCTTCCATAGCCCTGGCAGCTCATGTCAAGAGCTTCAGTGATCACTGATGTCACACATAAAAGTGTTAATTGTTAAATAAGCAACATAGTCACTGAGTACTAACTTCCCATGCAGGACCACTCTCCTCATGAGACTTAATAGTAAAATTGATCTCAAAGAATTACTTTGTTTCAGTGGATTAAATGGAAGATATTCGTATGTCTCATAATTAAGTCTAAGTGTTCACAAAAGATGTATCATTCTTGAGTTCTTCTTTAAAGACAAAAATGTTCCTAAAAAAAGTGAAATTACCTTCAAGATGCGATGACTTTGAACAGCCCTTGTCTGGATTGTTGAGGAACAAGTTTTTTTTTTTTTTTTGGTTTGCTTGTTTTTCTTTTTCTTCCTCATACAAAGTGTTGAACTCTTTACCTAGAATACAGTTAATCTTCTGTGTATATAGTTAAATGAAAATAGAACAGGAGTGGGAAGTGGAAGAGGGGTGGGAGTGTGGGTGGGAGGGCGGGTATGGTGGGAAGAATTACTATATTCCTAACGTTGTATTTACAAAATGCACTCAAATAAACAATTAATAAAATAAATACATCAATAAATAAATAAATAAATTGACATGATATTGGTGGTGGTGGTATTAGAGGGGAAATAGAAGTTGAGAGAGCTGTTATTAAAGAATTTATTATTATTTACTGTAAAATGATGAAGACACTAAAATACAAGCTCTTTGATAGTGGAGACCTTGTCTGCTATTATCTTTTTAAATATTCCCAGTTGCATAGTATTATGACTGGTACATATATGCACTCAATATGTGTCTGTTGACTAAATTAACGTAAAAGCAAATAAATGTAATGAAATTTAACAGGTTCTTTAATAGTGATAGAAAGGGAAACTTTATGGAAGAGCAGAGTTGAACTGAGTCTGGTGGATATAACTAGGGTGTTTCCAAAAGACAAAGGGGTGGAGAAGACATCAAGGCAGAGGGAAGGAGCTAGGCATTGATGGAAGCATGATGCAACATGGCAGGGGAAATCATCAGCACTTTGCCATTTCTGAAGGTTATTGCAGTAGGCAGACAAAGTCAAATGGGTGTTGGACTTGAAGAGCATGAGTTTTTTCTTCTTGCAGCTTTAAAATCACTGAGTGACATGGAGAGTTTTGTTTTATTTTGTTTTACTATAGAAGCAGATCTAATGGAAGTGACTACCAGTATATCAAGAACTCCTAGAGTCTAGAGCAAAACATTTAGGATTGGAGTCACATTAGAGACCTATTGCAATAGTCCAAGGGAGAGGTGACAAAGGCCTGTTTTGAAGAAGTGATGACACACAGAGAGATCATGGAAAATAACACAGATGGCAGAGCTGGCATTGTGTACAGCAGGTTAAACTAACATCTATGGTTCCAACATCCTGTATCACAGCAGTGGTTCCAGTCCCCTCTGCTCTGCTTCCAACCAAGCTCTCTGCTAATGCTCCTGGCAATATAATGGAAGATTGTCAAGTATTCAGTCCCTGCCACCCACATGGGAGAATGGGAGACTTGGATGGATTTCCAGGCTTCTGACTTCAGCCTGACCTAGTTGGGCTGTTATGGCCATTTGAACAGTGAACCAGCAGATGGAAAATTTCTCTCTCTCTCTGTTATTCTTCCTTTCAATAAATGAATAAATAAAACTTTTAAAAAAGAAAATATGACAGGCAGTGAATTAAAGGAATGCAAAACAGTTGTGTCAAGGGTTCAGATCTTCCCAAAGATGGTGCAGTACACTGAGCAATGGAAAGCAATAGAAGATAGGCGAGATAGAAGAAGGGAAAAAATGGATTACATTTTAGGCAAATTGATTTTGATTTTCAGAGACAAGCAGGTGAGTTTGTTGAAAAGTGGTCTGCTTCAGAGATATGATTTTCTGAGATGAGTAATGTTGCAGTGAGAAAGTGTACTAAAGGAAAAGAGATGTGGATTGAAGATGAAACTCTGGGAGAATACTCACATTTAGAAGTCAAGTGGCATGAGTTTTTGGCTCAGTGTTCTAATCGCTGCTTGAGACACCTGCATCCTGTATCAGAGTATGTGGCTTCAAGTCTCCATTCTGCCTCTGATCCACTTTCATGTTAATGCACATTCTGGGAGGCAGCAGAGGATGACTCAAGCACTTGGGTTATTGCTACTCATGTAGGGGGCTAGGATTCAGCTCTAGGCTCCTAGCTTCAGCCTGGTCGAACCCTGGTGTTGCAGGCATTTGGAGAGTGAACCAGAGTTGAAGATCTGTCTCTTCTTCCTCTCTCTCTCTCCACCTCTAATTCTTTCCCTGCTTCTCCATGTGTGTGTGCATCTGTTTTCAAATAAATTAAGTAAATCTTTTTTTTTTTAAAGAAGTTAGATGGAAGAAGATAAGCCAGCAAAGGTTACCATAACTGAATGGTCAGAGCATCAGCACAGAACTGGGAAAGCTTTGAATCACTACATCAGACTGAAGATTTCTGATTCATTGAAGGCTTTAAAATTCATGGAGAGAATGGAGAAATAGAGTTTAAAAGAATAATTAAACTAGAAATGCCATTAGGAGTCAAGTCATTAAGATAAATTTTATTTTAGCTTTGCATGGGATAAAATTTAATAATCATTAAATCAGAGAGACAAATGTCACAGACAACTTTCCAATGAACTTTTGCAGCAGAATGTTGCAGTTAGAATACAGACTTGAATAGATGAAGAACTAATAGGTCACAACTCAGTAATGACACAATTCCTTTAAATATGTAATTGTGAATGGAAGAAGAGAGTGGCAGCTAAGGAGAAAGTCAAGATTGGGGAAAATTATTTTGTCTGTTTTAAAAGGATGGGAGCAATGTGAAAATGGTATCCAAGTCCTTACCACCAGTCCTGACTGGTACCCCTGATGCCACACATACAAAGTCCTATGTATGCATTCATGTTTGATACTGCTTGAAATTACTTCAGGCACCTCAAATTCAACACCTCATGTTCTGTACTAACATAGTTTTTCCTCCTGTATTCCATACCACCTTTCAATAAGCCAAACTGGAGGCTCATATGTGACTCCTAACATCCTTACTAACCACTGCTATAAATTACCACCTTCCATATAGCTTGAATTCACATGGGTGTTCTACTTTCTATTCTCCTACACAAATTCTAAACCTCTTTTGATTAGGCGCTGTCTTCCACCTTGTATAAAAGCAGTCTTTCAGAAATAAGACTTTGAACTGCCAGTCACATCTCTACCAGATAATTTGGTGGCCCACAGCATAAAGTCCTAAGCTCCTTCCCAAGGAACTCCAGTCTGTGGCATTTATTCATAACCTAACATATCAAAGAGGATTCCTCTCTAGTAATACAAGGTGACCACCATTCCCCAAACACAATTTCTTGTCATCGTTTGCCTCCTGCTCTCCCCTTTATCTAGAACACTTTGTTATAGCTTCTTTGATTAGCTAATTGTCACTCATTTTTCAGGGTTTCACCCAAACATAATATCCTTTCTTTAGTGGTCTTAAAACCTCCCATCATCTATCAGGGTGATTAAGTGCCATCCCATTATGCTGTTTTAAGACCCTAAAGCACATTATAATCATTGAATTCCCCACACTGAATTCAAGATAGCACTACATCGCTGTCTCTACCTGGATTTTATGTTTTCTAATGTCAGGATTGATGCCTCCTTATTTCTTGCAACTTTGTATTTAGTGTGTCACCTGGTACATGGTAATTGCTCAGATTCTTACTCAACCTCACTGGGCAGTAAAATGGAGAGAATAAAGCTGCTCAAGAGAGAAGACGAACCCATAGAAAGAGGTGAGAAATGAGGAGGTAGAGAATTGAACAAGGATGACATATTACAGGCTAACTGAATAGAAGGCATGCCTTTAACTATATGCTGTAGAGGAAGGAGGTAAAGATGGAAGCTAATGGAAGTGGTAGGGAATGAAGAGAGGTACTGTTTTTTCCATTACAAAGGTAGTTGGACAGAATGCAGAAATGCATTGGGCCTATTTGCTGAGAGTGTAGATATATGTTTTCAAAACAAAGACACATGGAAGCATTTTATTCTGGAACATGACATATGGTCCCTTCATATACTTGAAATTCTTTTCCGAGGCAAACTTTTATACATATTTGGAACGTTTTCTCTGCTTATCTGTGCAAATGCTTTTGCCTGATGCTCTCTGCTTTTCTTCCAGGCTGCAGACTTGCCACTAGAGCTGGAATTGGTCATTACAACATTGTTGTTAGTGGAGTTCAGTGAAAGGTGACTCATGGCAAGGCTGCCTGCAGAATGGGAAGAATAACTGTAAATGGTCTTGAGAAATGCAGACTTTGTGTTAGTCTCTTGCTTACAAAGAATAACATAGCATTTGGGGAAGAATGTGCAGCACAGGATCCCATAGTTAGATATTAAAATAACGATAATCTCCACAGCTGGCAAATACTTGCCAAATGTGGTAGCATAGACAGGAATGAATGTGACCCAAGCTATGAAGTAAATAAGCATGCCAAATGTTATGAATTTGGCTTCATTGTAATTCTCAGGTAATTTCCTGCCTTTGAAAGCAAATATGAAGCAAATGAAGGCCAGGATGGCAATATAGCCCAGCATGGTGCCAAATGCAAGTATGGATCCCTCCTCACATTCCAGAATAATGACTCTGGGCAATGAGACATTCTCCTCCACAGCAGGTGCTGCAAAGACCAGCCAGAGCATGCAAATGATAACCTGTATGCCCGTGCAAATGAGGACAATGGGAATAGGTTTGTAGAGGCCCTTCAGGAAATTCTGCAACTTGGGATCAAAGCTGAAGGCTAGTAAAATTTTCAGTGACTTCGTCAAAATACAGGAGACACAGAGAGTAAAGCTCACCCCAAATAGTGTCTGCCTGGTTTTACATGTGAAGTCTTGTGGTTCTCCAATGAAAAAGCCTGTGCTGGCAAAGATGAGCAGATGACAGAGGAGGATCACATAACAGACCATCAGTCCCCCAGATGATTTCACAACAGGTGTGTTCAGGTTTCTTGTAAATATTATGCTAATGGCCAGAACGAACAAGATTCCTAGTAGAGAGACAGCCAGGAGCAGGATAGCCAAAGAGTCACTCCAGCTGAGATACTCCACTTCCTTCTCAAAGCACATAGTGCTTCTTACAGGGGCCCAGTGAGTTTCGTTGTTGCATAAAAGGCAGCGATCCATATCTAAAAGACAGAGGAGATTCGGTTACATTGCAAACATTTAAACTAGGCGATAGTCCACACTACCACAAATGAGACTCCTCCTTGATAACAGTCTTGACTAGAAAACAGATACAGGTAGTGGTCATAGTGGTCACACTGGTTACTAATTAAAATAAAACATGCCCAGAAACACAAAGAAGGAGAGAAGGGGTAAAGGTGAGGGCAGAGGACGAAGGGAAGAGAAAAAAGAGAGAGAATAAAGGCCAGCTGGGCTATGAGTCTTTAGGAAATTAATATACTCAAGACAGACACAAGGCCCTCCCCTCTCTTGAACTTGGAATTATAGGTATCAGTTCAGGCACTCTGTTAAGGGCTTTGGAATCAGGCATAGCTGAAGTCCTATTCTTCCTACAACTGTAATCTTGAACAAGCTAACTGAACTTTTCATCCTGTATCCAAATCTCTCTTTCTCTCTCAAAGAAACTGCCTCATTGGTTTGCTGCATTCAGTGAGATGACAGTTATAGAATGCTTCATATAGACATAGCACACAGTAGACTTCAATATATGGAAGTTGCTCCTATGAATAAAGATGCAGTTCTTATAAAGTTAGAGGCAATTTTGGCTTGCCCACTTTAAAAACCTTAAGTCTCTTTCTACAAGTGAGATGATATAAGATCGTAATTGATGACATTTGATGAAGAATAAAAGTTTAATTTTTCCTCAGGATGTTGTTGAACTCGAGCCTCTCACACTGGCAGTGAAAAGTCTCAGAAGGATTCATGCTGTTTTGGGCAACAGGTCAGTATGAATAATTGATGCTAGTATGGAGTGTCTAGGGGTGAGATTGTACTTGCTTCCCACTCTTACTTGCTACATGTGATGTGTTTCAACTGCTTTTTAAAATTATTTATTTATTTGAAAGGCAGAGAGGAAAAGAGAGAGAGAGAGAGAGAGAGAGAGAGAGAGAGAATCTTCGATCCACTGGTTCACTCCCCAAATGGCTGCAATGGCCAGGGCTGGGCCAATCCAAAGAAGCCAGGAGATGGGGGCTTTTTCTAGGTCTCCCACACAGGTGCAGGGGCCCAAGCACTAGGGCCTTCTTCTACTGCTTTCCCAGGCCATTGAAGAGAGCTGAATCATTAAGTGGAACAGTGGGGACTCAAACCAGCACCCATTTGAGATGCTAGCACTGCAGATTGGGGCTTTAACCTGCTATGCCAGCCCTTCAGCTTTGAGCTTTTCAAAGGCCTCTCAGGGCATCCATTCAAGTATACTTCAGGGAAATTTCAAGTGCTCATCCCACTTTTTAAAGTTTTGGGGTTCTGTTTTGTCAAATTCTAAGTAAGGTTGTGTTTCTGTTTGTGAAGTCAACATGACCCTTCTACCATCCCCATTTCCTTATAAATGTTAATTGTTCTACGTTTTAGCCTTAACCATGACAGTTGGTGGTTATCATGCCGTTTGTTTAGTTATGGAAGCCATGCTGGAGATGAAGAGAACAGGATGTGGCCCTTTTAGGTTACCTCCTAACTTTTCCCAAGGCATCCTCTGTCTTCTACATTTGTTCTTGGAATCAACTCACCCTGGTTACCCAACTATAACTCAGATTGGGCCTTGAAAGACTCTCTCAGAATTTTGATTTTTCTCACTTGCAAGATAGTTGCTACATGCTGCAATTCCTAAACCCCTCCCCTGTAGCTTAATTATTTAGACTATAGCATAGTCTCTCTCTGTTGGGATACATGGCATTTTAGTTACACAATGGCAGAGCATTCATATTAGAATGCATATATAGGTATACTTAACCCATTGAAGCTAACAAAAAAAAAAAAAAAGAAAAGAAATGTGGTTGTCCCCTTGGTATTCATGGAGGATTTGTTCCAAGACCCTGTGTGCATATCAAAATACATGGATGCTCAAGTCTCTTACACAAAATGGTATAATATTTGCATTTAACCTGCACACATCCTTCTGAAATATTTAAATCACCTCTAGATTACTTATAATATCTAACACAATATAACACATAAACAGTTGTTAGACTGTATTGTTTAGAGAATAATGACAAGAAGAGTCTGTACATATTCAGAATAGTCACAATTTTTAAAAAAATTCTTTCTATTGGAGATTGGTTGAATCTGGGGGGTACAGAATCCATGAAGAAAGAGGGCCAAGTGCATGTACCATGGGGAAACTATTCTGGCTCTAAGGTTCTCCTATTTTATACATAATGAATAGGAATGTTTCAATAAACAAGGGAGCATGATGCTATACAGTAGCCTCAACTCCAGAGAAAGTGCTAATAGTTTCTTTTAGAGCTCCTAACTTCTGACCTCACTCGTGTTCTTTAATTTGTGTATTTTGCTCTGATCTTGTCGAATTGTTAAAGATAGGGCTGGTAAACAATCAGTCATGAGCACCTCATCTCTGTCAATAGTTAGTCCCCTTGTCTCATGGAATCTTCTATCTTTATAGGCTTAACTTTTGTCCCTTGGAAGGACTAATAGGATCACTAGGATGTGCACATCTGTTTCTTAACACCAAGTGCCTGAATTTCTAACATGTTCAAATTACCAGCCAGGAATGTCTGTTTGGGTGTATGTGGACAAAAATTTATAGAAAAGTTACATTGTTTAAGAGGTACTGGAGAGAAAGCATGTGTGAGGGACTGACATTTTTCTTTTTCTTCTTTTCAACTTTTATTTAATAAATATAAATTTCCAAAGTACAACTTTTGAATTATAGCAGCTTCTCCCCCATAACCTTCCTCCCACCTGTAGCCATCCCATCACCCACTCCCTCTCCCATCCCATTCTTCATCATGATTCATTTTCAGTTATCTTTATATACAGAAGATCAACTTAGTATATACTAAGTAAAGATTTCAACAGACTGCACTCACAAAGACACACAAAGTATACAGCACTGCTTGAGTAGTAGTTTCACCATTAATTCTTATAGTACAACACACTAAGGGCAAAGTTCCTATATGGGGGGGCAGGTGCACAGTGACTCCTGCTGTTGATTTAACAATTGACACTCTTATTTATGATGTCAGTAATCACCCGAGGCTCTTGTCATGAGCTGCCAAGGCATGGAAGCCTCCTGAGTTCATAAACTCCAATCTTATTTAAACAAAGCCATATTCAAAGTGGAAGTTCTCGCCTCCCTTCAGAGAAAGCTACTGCCTTCTTTGATGACACCTTCTTTCCACTGGGATCTCATTCACAGAGATCTTTCATTGAGGTAATTTTTTTTTTTTCGGCCACAGTGTCTTGGCTTTCCATGCCTGCGAAGCTTTCATGGGCTTTTTAGCCAGATCTGAATGCTTTAAGGGCTGATTCTGAGGCCAGAGTGCTGTTCGGGGCTTTTGCCATTCTATGAGTCTGCTGTGTATTCCGCTTCCCATGTAGAATCATTCTCTCCTTTTTAATTCTATCAATTCTTTGCTGACACTGGTCTTATTTATGTAATCTCTTTGACACTTAATCCTATCTTTTTGATCAATTATGAACTTAAATTGATCACTTTAACAAGTAAGATGGCATTGGTACATTCCACCTGGATGGGATTGAATTGGAATCCCCTGGTACATTTCTAGCTCTACCATTAGGGGTAAGTCTGAGTGAGCATGTGCTGAAATGTACATCTCCTCCCTCTCTTATTCCCACTCTTATATTTAACAGGGATCACTTTTCAATTGAATTTAAACACCTAAGAATAATTGTGTGTTAATTAAAGAGTTCAACCAATGGTATTAAGTAGAACAACAACAACAAAAAACCACTAAAAGGAATAAAATAGTAAGTAAGTTGGGAATGACATTTTTCCTTGGAAGTGAAGTTGCTTTTGCAGCTCTATTACTTGTTGATTGTGCATCTGTTAAAATAATTGAGCAAATTCTGAGCTAATTGAAATCTCAATGGAATTTTATCTAGCAGGAGCATGGGAAACTTTTTTTTTTTTTTTCCAAATGAAAAAATACACAAAAATAGGATCTATGTGAAAAAATCAGCCTAAGAGAAGTGGTTCCAGTGTATCACTGTTATTGTTATAGTGACTGTAATTACCTGTCTGGTTACTGTAGTGATTTTCAGGACAATTCACACATTCATAACAACAGATATGTTGACTTTTTGTAGTTTTCTTCATTTGTCCAGGACTGCATTCCTTGGAGCATTTAGATTGAATTTGCTAAATGAAAAGTGAAAAGAAATCAAAGTTGATTTTGAAAAGAAGTATCTTGACAGATTATTCTTTATTTAATTTAAATATATATTTACTAAACGGCATTTTGGCTTTTTTCATAATACTAAAGAGTCTTTTGGCCCTCCTGAATTATATGGACAGCTTAAAATATATAAAATGTCTCAGGTAGTAAATCTGCTTTAGGAAGAACACAATCGTTGTCATGTTAATCACTTCTGTAAGCAAATTATGAAAATTATTTCTTTCTGAAGTTCCACAGCAGTGGGAGAGATGTATAGTAGATAGCAGGAAAGAAAGAAATGATGGTCACATAATTTCCAACCCCATTCTGAATGAAGAGTCCCACTGTATTTGAAAATGGTAAAATATTAGACTTAAAATCTTAAGAACAAAGTTCTTATCATACTGTCCAAGGAGCAAATCCCAGTTGAATTCTAAAAATCAAAACAAAGAATATTTGGAATTTACAACTATGAAAGTGCTTGTTAAAAGGAAAACCTTAAATACACAAATAAAACTAAAATCTGAAAATTTAGGTAATAATTTTTCATGTCATAATGTAAATCACATGCAGCATTCTGCTTTTAGGGAACCCTATGGATAGATTCAGCTTATAGTTATATTCACTTTGCTGTGTTATTCTTTTCCATTCCTAGTCCCTTTCTCATGGCATATCCTGTGAGATGAATTGTGTTGTTGCTATACTTTGCCCATGGGAAGCAAATGTGAACAGTTAAATGTAGCTTCCTCCAGATTCTCTTCACGGCTATTGCTAGTCCTATCTCTGAAAGGTGAGGTTGAGCTGGCTGACATAAAAAAGCAGCCAAGGTTTGGTAGCCCTGTGTCCACAAGCACTGACTTCCTTCTCAACATAGTTATTGTTTTGAGTTTTCAGCAGGAAGAATATACACCTTGTGGATGCACCAGAGCAAGTTTCTAATCTGAAGTTTCCCCTCTCAGTGAGAGTGCTCAGAGGACATACAAGGATTTAACTATTAGATAAAGCCAGGCATCATCGAGGGGATAAAAGTGCAACTTTCTCTCCTAGCAACTCGATCCCTTCCTTCTCTCCCTCCACATCAAGAAACAGCAATGGCATTCTAAAGTCTAGAACTGATAACTCTGGGCTATCAATACACTTAAGATTATCTGATGTTTTAGAATTTGTGTTTTAGTGACTTATCAGAAATGTTAATATCCCAACTAGCCTGCAAATTGACAAGCAGATCTTGGAATCTGAACTAAATAATCTCAGATGTTGTTGGTTTTTACTATATCCTTGAAATATGCATGGGTGTCTCTATGAGAAAGGTAGACTTGTCCTTTCATAGTAATCACCTCCCCATTTCATAACTAAAAGCCCCACCCAGTTATCTGTCATTCTATCCCCTCCCTCTCACTGTCTTTCCTCTTGAGTCTGGTGATACACAGTGCTTGGTTCAAAAACAAATAGAGAATACTCTCCATATTCAGTAAGAAAATGGTGGGAGAATAGCTTAACCACCAAGTTACAATGGTTAGCAGAGTGCTGGGTTCCTAATGTAGTTGTGAACAAGGTGATAATGATAAAGAAGATAATAACAAAAATTGAGAACACAAGAGGACAGGTACATTCCTATCTTCCAAGAAAAACTATCTTACTCTACTGAAATTTCTAAAAGGAAGACTTCGTTAAGAAAAATGGTTTATAGCATTGCTGTATTCATTCTTTCACTTGTCAGATATTTATTGCCTATCTGTGATAAGCCAGGCATTATGCTAACTGTTGGAGCTAGAGAAGAGAATAAAATGCAAATCCCTTCCCTCACAGAATTAAAGTTCTTTTTGACAAGGTTCACAATAAATCAGATAAAAATAAACAATACATATAGAACAAGAGCAAAAGAGAAAAGTAGATAGGATAGTGGAGAAATACAAGGCTGATATCAAAATTTCAAATAGCTTGTCCAGTGAAGGCGTCACTGAGAAGTTGAAATTTTAGAAAAGACAAAAAGTAATAGAGGAAGTTAACCACATGGACATCTAAGAAAATTACTGCAAGCAAAGGAAATAGCAGCTGCAAAGTTCTGAGCTAGGAGAAGGCAAGGCATATGTGGAAGAACAAGGCAGAGGAGAGTAGTAGGGGGTGAGGTCAGTGAGGCAGCACTGACACTTTGTGTAGGATTTTTGAAGACATTGGGTTTTACCATGAGTGAAATAGGATGCTAAGGATACAGAGAATAATGTTTTATAAAATTACTTTTGCTGCTATGTTGAAAACAGACTGAAGAGGGGCAGAGAGAGTTAGAAACTTACTATAATAATCCAAGCAAGAGGCAATTATAGCTTGGAGTCAGGTAGCATCTGTGAGGCAGAGGTAAAGTGTGGTCAAATTCCTTTCACATTTAGAAACTGAAACTTTCAGGGCACATGGAGTGTGACAGAAAAAGAGGTCACAAGGATCCCAGCGGGTTTTCTCATGAGCAGCTGGGAGAAGGGCGTTGCCATTTATTGAGATGGGGGTAGGTTTGGGACAGAATATCAGGAGTTCTGTTTTGGGAATAAGGTGGCTGTTAGACATCCAAGTAGAGACACCAACTAGGGAGCTGTACATTTATCTGGTTATAAGTCAGAATGTAAGAATCTAGAAGTCATCATGACACTATTTAAAATCATGAACTTTATAAGATCACTAAAGAAAAGTGTAGGCCAAAAAAAATAGCTGTGAGCTCTTGACATCCTAATATTTAAAGATAGTGAAAATAACAAAGAATCAGCAAATGAAACAGGAAGAAAATCAAGAAATAAAGGTAGTGTGGTATTATGGGAGCAAATGAAGAAAGAATTTTATGGAGGGAAAAATTAGCTGAGAAGTAAGATGAATTTTGGATTTATTAACATTGGAGAGCTGGACAGAAAATATTTGATGGATTGGAGAGGGCTCAAAGGGTTATGGGAGGGGAGAAATTGGGACTAGTGAGTATATTCAAATTTTTCAAGGAGTTTTGATATAAAGAGAAATGGAAGAATATTATATGTAGGAGGATATGGGGGAATCAATAGAGTTTCTTTTAAAATAAGAGAAGTAGCATACTTATTATCCATGTATGAAACATGCAGAAGGGAGAATAATTAAGGATGCAGGGGAGAGTATAAAATTGCCAAGCAATATCTGTGAGTAAGTGAAGATGTTAAGTGGAGGAGCTGACCTTTCCTAGGACTTAGTCCACCCACAGATGGAAGGCATAGATGTAGTGGCAGGGGAACACGGGAGTTCACTTACCATTATTATATTTTGTTAGTGGAACCAAAAGGCAAGTAAACTAAAATTGGGAATGGGGGAAGATATGTTGAAGTCAGAGGAGAAGAGAAATATAAAATAGTCATCTAGCAAGGTGTATGAATTAAAGGACTAAGGCAATAGCCTGATTGCCCAGCAACCCTAAGGACCCACTGGAGGTCAGAGATCATGAATTTAAAGTGGAATCATGAGTTTGGAGTTTGGTCTAAGTAGTTAAGATGCCTGCATCCCATATCAGGATGTCTGGGTCTAACTCCCAGCTTCTCTCTCAATTATAGCTTCCTGCTAACGCATATCCAGGATGGCAGCAGGCAATGACTCAAGTAGTTGGGTTCCTGCCACCCACATGGGAGCACTGGGCTGAGTTCCTGATTCTTATGACTTTGGTTTAGCCTAGCCACAGAAGCTGCTGGTATCAGAAAGCTGAACCAGTAGATAAAACAACTCTCTCTTTCTCTGCCTCTAAAATAAATAAAAATAATTAATTAAAGTGAAATCACAAAAGTCTCTCTTTTCCATTTTTTTCTTTTCATTTTTTGTTTGTTTTGCTAAATTCAGCTACATAGGGGTTCCATAGAGTAGGCACAAGTTTAATTTATTTATTTTTAAAGATTTATTTATTTATTTGAAAGGCAGAGCTATAGAGAAGCAGAGGTAGAGAGAGAGAGAGAGACAGAAAGAGAGAGAGAGAGAGATCTTCCATTTGCTGGTTTATTCCAGAAATGGCTGCAATGGCCAGAGTTGGGCCGATCTGAAGCCAGGAGCCAGGAGCTTCTTATGGGTCTCCTATATATGGGTTCAGGGGCCCAAGGACTTGGGCCATCTTCTACTGCTTTCCCAGGCCATAGTAGAGAACTGGATCAGAAGTGGAGCAGCCAGGACTCGAACCAGCACCCATACGGAATGCAGGCATTGGAGGTGGTGGCTTTACCGTTTATGCCACAGTGCCAACCCCTTTAAATTTTATTTGAGGTATGCAAACTTCATGCATTTCATATATACAAATTTAGGAACAAAGGGAGAAGTTGCATTTAACAGGGATTGTGTTAGTATAATGCAGGGATAAAGAGGAGAGGGTAGGCAGGAATTAAGTATGTGTACAAGGGAGCAGTACATTTTTTGGCCATAGAATTTAAGGAACAAAAGTGGAGACAGTGAAAAGGCTGCAGGTACTGGTAGGGTCAAGGATGTTTACTGTTGAAGCAACAATTGATTTGAATCTTACAAAGCTGCCTGACACAAAATTACCTTAAGATTCCTGAGCTCATTTTTTGTTTCTTGGTTTGTGACAATGAAGACATCATTCTGCAAGTCATATTCAGCCATCTTTGCAATAGTCATATGGCCACTGATTTCCTTCCAAAGCACAACATCATATCCGGTATTCAAGTCCCCACGAGCATCAAAATGAAATGAATTCCTTCCATCAGTGAATGTCACATTTTTCAGCACATCAAGTAACTATAAGAAATGGAAACAAACACTGAATATAAATATTAGAAGTCTATCATTATTTCAATTATAAGACTTTATTATTATAAGAATATCACTTAATAGCGAGAAAAAGGGAGATTCTGTTTCACTGATTGGTATATTGGTAACCATTGGACAATAGTTTCAGAATGAGTTGCACTTCAATTCTAATCTCATTTCTGTGAAATTCTTGCAATGTATGTTGGAGAATGTAAATTAATTTCTATAGAGGTGGCTCCTCTAGCCTATAAAACTGAAATCTGAGCATCTGCATGGATCTAATTGCAGAATTTCAGAATGAGTTCTTTGGAATAGATGTCTGAATTCGAACTCTGGTTTCATTTCTCATTAGTGGTGCAACCATCAAAATTGTAAATATTTTCTACCAATGGTTCTTAGTCTGCTTTAATGTTTGAATACATATTAAAGTGACCTCTAAATCTATTTCTTAATTCATTGGCCTGTAAATAAATGTAATTAAAAGCTACTTGTTCTACTATCCAAATTGTGCAGTGAGAAGAGGCATATGGTAGACCTGGGATAGGGACTGTTTCACTGGCAAATGAAGCAGTCATTGAACTTGGGCTTTGTGGAAGAACATAAGGCTAGAAGGCAGGAAAACAGATTTCCATTCTGGTTCCATTATTAACTTGATATGTAAGCTTTGCTAAATAAACATTCTCTCTGTACTCTCAGTGACCTCAATCATTACCTAAACTGATGGTTTTAGGTGACTTTTGTTGAGTTCAAAATCTGTGGAATGAAGCAGAAAGTATTCTATTTGAATAGAGCTTCTCTAGCCCATTCATCCTCAATTCATCTCTTTTGATGTTTCATTTTTTTGTCAGTAGAATGTATGAAACCAAGTTCTAAGATGGATATATTAGCTAAGATGATCATTCCAATGACCAAAAGTCACTTCAGCAAAAGCTCTTCAGTGTATTATTGTTTTGTTATTGTTATTGTGTTATTGTTTTGTCCCCCTTATTTTTTAATCCTTTTTATGAACGTTAGTAGTACTTGTTAGTAGTACTTTAAAGAAACAAAATAAGGCCTAATTTAATGGAATTAGTCAACAAATTATTTTTTAAAAAGATTTATTCATTTATTTGAAAGGCAGAGTTACAGGGTGGGGGTAGAGAGAGAGCGAGAGAGAGATCTTCTATCCACTGGTTCACTCCTCAAATGGCCACAATGGCCAGAGCTGCACTGATCTGAAGCCAGGAGCCAGAAACTTCTTCTGGGTCTCCCATGTGGGTGCAGGGGCCAAGGACTTGGGCCTTCGTCCACTGCTTTCCCAGGCCTTTAGAAGAGAGCTGGGATTCAAAGTGGATCAGCCAGGATTCGAACCAGTGCTCATATGGGATGCTGGCACTTTAATTGGCAGCTTTACCCACTACACCACTGCGCTGGCCCCTACCAAAAAATTCTTATTTTAGCAACTGCCTGGAGGGAAAAAACAGAGTGGAAGGAACAATAATAAAGCCTACCCTCATTGTTCTCACTTCTACCTGTGTACTGTTTTTTCTTTTCCTTCCTTAAGCAATATATAAGTATAAGCCCAGTAATGCATACATCCAGTTTTTACACTTGTGTTTGAACTACAGTTTCCCCTTGTTTTCTCCTACATTTAATTAAGTTTTACAGGGTAAAGTTCTGGCACATATGCTCTGTAAATAATGATAACATTATATAATGTAAATAAACTTACCAAATTTTATGCTTGCTCTTACAGGAACAGGTAGAGGTAAATAAAACTAAATTTATTATTCATTAAATATGATGGAACATGTGTTTGGATTAAGATAAATTTTGTTAACACTTGAGTTATTAAGCTATTCAAGGATTTTTCCATCATTTTTTGGTTTCTTTTCATGAGATTTGGAAAGTCCCTACAAAATGACACTGCAAAATTCAGAAAATGGGATTTGAATTTCAATTATTATGTAACTCATCTCAGAATGATAATATCATGTTTTTAAAAACACAAGATCAGGTGGCCATACCAATTAAGGTGTTATGGGGCATGTGGTGTGGTACAGTGGTTTAAAGCCCCAGCCTGCCACGCCAGCATCTCATATGGAAGCAGGTTTAAATCCTGCCTGCTCCACTTCTGATCCAGCTCCCTACTAATGCCCTGGGAAAGCATAGAGGATGGCCCAAGTTCCTGGGCCCCTGTACCCTCATGGGAGACCAGGAAGAAACTCCTGGCTCCTGGCTTTGGATCTGCCCAGTTCTGGCCATAGCGGCCATTGGAAGAATGAACCAGCAGATGGAAGACATCTCTTTGTGTGTCTCTACCTCTCTCTGTAACTCTGCCTTTCAAAAAATAAATCTTTAAAAAAATTTAAAGTGTTATGGTTAGTGTTGTGTTCCATTCCCTAACTGTGCTATCTGCTGTCTCCATAAGAAAACTTGCATGTGGAAAGACATATAAGTCTTCAAAATTTCATTGAAAATGTGTATTATGAAAAACTATGCATGGATTCAAATTGCTTTTGAACCACAATAGAAGAATTTTTGAAGTGCTATCATATTTATGTGACTTAATTGGAGAAAAGCAAAAGAAGCAGCTTACAACCTCATGGTGCCAAACTATGTCTTCTCTTGTGGAGTTTTCTGTGTTGCAGCAGAAATCATATTGAACTTAGGCTATGACAGTTTTAGTACTAAATGTGTAAGTGACCATGGAACAAACTAGTGTGGAGTTCCCCTCATCTATAAACTGCCTCAAGTCTTGGTTGCTGGTAACACTTCCTCTTGCTTCTCTAAGCTCAAGTGGAAAGTATGTGAGTGCTGTAGACCTAGTGTAATATCGTCAAGATTGTAGAATCTAAAATTATTAGTTATTCTCCTTAACACATCAAAATCAATATCATGTCTCTCTTGACTTCTGGACTAATGTAATGTGGTGGAATGAGATGAAAAGTTCATATCAAGATGGCCACTGAGGTGAAAAGTTCCTGCCAAGATGGCCACTGACAACAGAAACTGCCTGGCAACAGGGCACGATTAGATGGCTTCGGAAACTACATGACAACAGAGGAAACCACATGACAACAGAGCCTGACTGACGGCAGGCCATGATTGGATAGTTTCAGAAACTGCCTGGCAACAAGAGCCTGACTGGCAACAGGCTGTGATTGGTCAGGGCATAGACCACCCCTTGACCGAACTGGCTGGTCTTGACTACATAAGCTGTTGTACTAACTGAAATAAAGGAGTCTGCGGGCTGCTTGCCTCAAGCCTGCTTTCACCTGACTCCCAGGGTCTGTGTGGTGACTCTGCGCCTCTTGCCCCCACCACGCTCCTCCTCTCAGAAAGGAATTCACTGCAACATTGTTGAGAAATCAACTGCAACAATGTACAACTGCATGGCTATACTTGCATGTATCATAAGTTCTCCAAATCCAACACATCTCCAAAATGGAATCTTTAATATTTCTTCTCCCCACCAGACCTCCACTTTTCTCTGCTTCATGATTCTATCTCAGCAATTGATATCAGTTGCCCAAATTTAGAATCATTTATTACATCTTTGTTGTGCTCACCATGTCTCCAAATACCCTTCATCCTTCCTCTTAAGCATGTGTAAATCTCTCTCTCTCTCCATCCTTACTGTCACATCTGTAAAACTAAGTATTCATAATTCCTTTCTAGATTACCAAGGTCTTTCTTTCTCCTGTTTTGTGTTCTGCTAATCAATTTATACTAAAGTTGGAATGTTGTATCTACAGTGGAAAACAGGTCACTCCTCTCCTGCTTACTTAAGTTCAAACTTCTAAATTACAAACATAGTTTGTAATTTTTCTATGTAAAGAGTGATTTCTACAGTAGCAGTATCAGCACAGCACCACCCGAGAGGTTTTAGAAATGTAGACTTTTGGGTTTCATTCTGGAGCTACTATATCAACATCTGCTTTATAAAAAGATTTCCAGGGAATTTAATTGCACATCAGTGTTTGAAATGCCCAGATTGACAAGACTATAATAATGTATTCTACACTAAGTTCTCCAGGCTCATTTTACAGCTTCCATGGGCAACTCCAACCATATGGTACCATTTTCTTTTCCCTGAGGATGCTATGCTTTCTCTTTTGTCTGGGACTTTGTTGGAATAGTTCTCTCTATCCTAGCTAACTCCATCCGATTTGCTATAGATGTCATGTTCTTTGTAGAATGTTTTTTGGTTTGCTAATGCTGGATTAGCTGCCTCAATTTTGTGCTTCTCTGATATCTTATATCTTTATAAAGCATAATAGTGCATAATCCTGCATTCCAATCATTTTCTTAATTGTTTGATCTTATAGTCTTCTAGACAGATGACTTCTTTAGTGAAGGAATTCTGTCTTGCTCTCCATCAAATCTTTAGCATTCAACACAATGCCTGGACCACTTAGGTATCCAGCAAAGATTTATTAAATAAATATGTGACTAGAAGTTTGATTATTAGAATTATCTCATCACTTACTACCTTATACATCATCAGAAGGGAAAGAAAATAAAAAGGAGAAACAAAATCACTACTTACAACACGGAAATAGTATCTTCATATATATCTAGAGAATATTAAAATCAATTACAGTAAAAGAAGAGTGACTGTTCTGCCCCTGAATACTAATCACAAATATCATCAAATATAAAGTCAAAAGTATTATCCCCGAACAGTGGAGAAACTACCTCATTTAAAACCATTTAAAACTAAAACCATTGGAAAGTGTTATTTAGATTTTAGTGAATTTTGCTAGAGGACATAGTCATCCTTAGGAATGTATCATTGATTAGGATCCTAAAAGTCACTAATCTTTGAATGTAATGTCTGTGGAGATTTCTTCTGAAAAAGACATTGTTGAACTATTTGTCCTACTGAATCTGGCACTGACTAGATGTGGCTCTCTAATATCATGATCAAAGGAGCAAGTCACCCTCTTATTCCCTTCTTTCCAATCTGTTTCTATTTGTTTCTAGATTAGCAGGTTCTCAGAGGTATAAAGAACAACCTCAGCCTCCTAGTGTTTAAGTAAATCACTTTAGAAGACTCTGATTAGACTTTCTCAAGTCTTTTCCTCCAAATTTTAGAGATTATCCCTGATTTAAATACTTTCCCATATCTTACCCAGGACTTTAGTGGGTAAATGGTTTATTCATTTTCCTTATGAGTCACTTTATTTTCATCTCCTTTACCCTGTCTCTCTCTATAACTGCTCTTCATTTCTTTTCCTCAATCTCTCATTCTTAAAATACCATATAGTGGCTTCATTCTGATAGTTATTTTTAAATGATTAGTTTTTTTCTGCAATGTATCAGAAATACACAATTTAAATATATTAGAAAACATCCCAATAAACTTGGATTTAAACTTTTGATTGAGAAAAGATGATTTACAGTTTAACGAATCCCCTCATTAAAGTGTTACCCTATAAAGGAAATCATTCAAATAGGCAATTTTAAATCATTGCACATATGAATATAATGTATAAAAGAGACCTTTAATTTGAAAAGTATCATAATCTCTAGTTTTACCTCTGACATATTTTTGTCTCTGTATTTACAGGGTTTAAAGTGGGTCAAAACACCCTCTGATCATTGCATGATCTACCCAGATGAAAATTAGTTACCATAGAACTTCGAGATTGTACTTGTGGATGTTCAATGTAAAAATGATAAGGTAGAAATAATCTATTCTGGACATTCACTTACAAGATGAAAAGAAATGCCTGTAATGCTTTTTTACCCTGTTTTCTCTTAAAAATTTAAAATATGTATATTTTATAACATGATTCTGTCTCAAGATATACAAATTTGGTTTTGAATACACATTACTGAAAAACTTGCTTCTAATGAGTAAAGCTTATCATTACTGAAAAAAACAATTTACTTTTAAATGCCTTCATGAAAGGTTAGGAAAAACAATTTTTCCACAGAGAGTCACGTTAAGTTTTAAATTTATCCAAACTAATCAAAGACAGAAAAAGGCAAGACTTATTTTATGCACAATTAGTGGTTCTTTTAAACTTGAGCTATCATAATAGACCCAACAACTTTCTTTTCTTGAAAACTGGAGTCCTGGGAAGACCACACTATGTAAGAGAGTCTGGAGACTGGAGATGTTGGAAGTAAACCACCAGGAACACAGTGAAGAGCAAATGGTATGCAGTCAGAAGACCCAGACTGGTCTTATATTTCTGGAACACTTATCTTCAATTTCCCTATCCTAAATACTAGTTGAGTAACTCTCATTTGAAAATTAAAATTCCAAAGTACTCCAACATCTGAAACATTTTGAGTGTTAAGAATATGTCAAGTGGAAAATTCCATATCTGATCTGCAGTCAAAGCTCAGATATGCTAAAAATATTGTTTAAAATGCCTTCAGGCTATGTGTATAATGTATATATGAAACATAAATTAATTTCCTGTTTAGACTTGGGTACCATCCTCAAGAAACCTCACTATGTATATGAAGGTATTAAAGCATTTTTTTAAAAAGTAAAATCTGAAACACTCTGTTTAAGGGTATTTCAGATAAGGAATACTTGTCTATATCATGTGAAGCGGAACATCCACCATAAACTCAAGGAAAATAGCACCATTCTAAGAATCTTCTTGAAAAGTGAAAGTACACAATTTTGGTGGGTCAGAATAGAGATGAAAGTAAAATATGACTATTACCTTCAAGAATAAATAACTATGATAGAAATGTAGGCTATTCAAACATTGGAGGTATCTACTTATAAAAGGAAAATGATGAAAAGAAGTTAGTACAGATCTTTGCAAATTAAATCATGAAATGGAATGGAAAAAATGATGATGGTACAGAAATTTTCTTGAATATGTGAGTTGGTACCTCCCATGGTTGAAAGGCGTTGGGGTTCTGACAGTCTCGAGCATGGCACAGATCCCGAATGGCATAACCAAGGGCAAACACTGCAAGTTGAATACTATGCATAAGTCCTGGCTCAGTATATTGCCAGAGGAAGTCTTTTCGCATGAAGTTCTTTTCTACAGTCTTGTTGGGCTTGCATGCCAAAGTCCCCTGAGAATGGTTAAGAATACATTGACTCAAATCACTATCCTTGACATAGGCACAGGCACACAAAAGCATGGTGTATTCATGTAAGGGTTTGTTATTGTCACTGGGAAACATATGAAGATTTTGAAGAAAGGAATGGAAAGAGGACATATTCCCTCTTCTAAAGGTAAATCCTACAATTTTGCCAATTTTTTTAATGTTAGGGATACTGATAATCTTGGTGGCAGTTGCCCAATTATCGCTTGCAATCCAGATCTTGTTTATATTCCTTTCAATGGCCTTATTGAAGAGATCAAACACATGGAATTGCCTCAAAAACAGCACAATGACATTAACTTGGGTTTCTGCAATGATTTTCTCAAATGTCTGATTGATCCTGACTTCTATGGCATTATCTGAGAGGAAGGCTGGGAGAACCTCTTTGAAGGCTATGCATACATTATTTGCTGCAGCCTGATTTGTAAAAGTGTTGAGAGCCAATCGTCCATAGTCATCATCTGTGGTTATGACACCAATCCAGTTCCATCCAGATTTCTGAATTAGGTGGGCCATTGCTTTAGTTTGATAGAAGTCACTGGGCACAGTCCGTAAAAATGAAGGAAAGCGAATTTTGTCACTTAGGATTTCTGCAGTTGATTCATAACTAACCTGGAAATGGACAGAATTTGTAAGGTATAGTATTGAATAATTCCAGGTGGCTATTCATAGTGATGTTCCTTTCTTTGATTTTCATATCTGCACAACTTTTTCTATTTTTTTGGTACTTCAGTGAATTCCTACTTTGCATGTTACTTAAATCAATGTACAATGTAACTTCCAAAAGTTTACATATAATTTTTTTTAATTTCATTTTTCAGTTACCACTGTATTTTTTTCTTTTCACTGTATCACATGGCTTCTGTAAGTAGTGAGAAAAAGAAGGAAAGAATGAAGGAAGGAAGGAAAGTGGGAAAGAAGAAAGGGAGGAGAAAGAGAGAGAAAAGGAAGGAAGGATAACAAGAAAAAAGAAAAGCAAAGAAAAAGAAAGAAAGGGAGATAGAGAAAGACACAAACAAGGAAGGAAAGAAGGAAGAGAGGAAAGAAAGAAAGAAAAAAGGGAAAAAAGAGAAAAGAGAAAAAGAAAAGGAAGGAAGGCAGGAAGATAGATAAAGAAAACAGAAGAAAGGGAGAGAGAGAGAGAAAGACAGAGACAAGGAAGGAAGGAAGGAAGAACACTGAGCAAGTGACATGGTGTTATTGCACCTATAGAAGGTAATCATTCTTCTTAGTATTACCAAAGTTATAAATCAGGAAAATACACATATTCACATATTCAATAGAACTCTCAAATGGTAATGTTTGTATGACTAGAACAGAGGGCTGCAAACCAGAACCTGCAGACCAAATATGACTATCTGAATATTGAGCTGAGGATGGCTTTTATCTTTTTAAAAATATTGAGCGAAACAAAAAGATATCATGGGGCTCCAAAAAGTTCATGGAAAGTTTAAATTAAAAGATAATACACATTTTCTATGAACTTTTTGAACCTCCTTGCTAGGCTTTTGAGAAAAAAAAAAAACCTGCTAGAATCCTGACTCCAGTATATTTGTAAAAGTTGCTTCACATTTCTCTACCTGTGAAATTACTGGATTTTTGAGAAGACCAGGCATATGGTAGGCAACCTCAGTTGCCCTCAGAAGTTTCTGTGTTATCCAAATCATGCTGAAAAGTATCAGAAAAGAAACTTGACAGCTTGAGGGTTGACCATTCATTGGCACTTTTTCATGACAGTGTTCATAATAGGTTGCATCTTTTCTTTAATTGAAGAGAACAGTCAATCTAAGTGCAACTCCCTAACTAGATTCTTCAGATTTGTAATAATGACTGTGGCCAAAAACCATCAGGTAGAGACAGAACAAAACCTACCTGTGGAATGAGCTGTAAGTTCAACAACCTGGAGACAGCCATGGTTATTTCTGAATAGCCAGCACCTATGATGGCCTTAACTCTTGGATTGTAGCTGGAATAGTCACACTTCACCTCCACAGTTTCTTTGGAGCAGTTGAATTTAAAAAGAAACCTTAGAGCAGCTGCCATTGCTACTGGGACTTCTGTACAAGTGTCATAGATTTCATACCCCAGTTTGATTCCAGATAACAGTGTGGAATTATTGATCATTTCAATGCTGTGAATCATGGCAAGACTTTGAAGAAAGGCTGATATTTCAAAGCTGTTGAGAAACAAGTATATTTGAAATAAGAACACAACTATTCCATGGACATGGTGCTATTTCATTTTATCCTCATCTCTGCCTTATGGCATACAATTTCTTGGTAATTGAAGCCTGCCATTTAAAGGATCTAAACTTCAATTAAAATAATTTTTGAAGGAAATATTTACAAAAGACAATAGAAGAACTTACAGTTTCTTAAACAGAGTCCGTGGTACAGGATTTAACCTGTTCTTGAAAATTTTGGAGTAATTTTGAATATTTAGTTTAGTATTCTTTAATTTGAATATGTGTTTGATATTTATATATTTGCTATTTTGTGGCTACATGTCAGCATTTTATTACTGCCAAAGTACTTGCTTTTTAAAAAAGATTTATTTTATTTATTTGACAATCAGAGCTACATAGAGAGAGGGAGAGACAGAAAGAGAATGAGATCTTCCACCTGCTTTCTCCCCAAATGGCGGCAATGACCAGGGCTGAGCCAGGAACTTCTTCCAGTTCTCCAACATGGGTAACAGAGGCCCAAGCACTTAGACCATCTTCTGCAGCTTTTCCCAGGTGCATGAGCAGAGAGATGAATTGAAAGCAGAGCAATAGGGACCTGAACCTGGCTTTACCTGCTATACCATAGTGGCTACCTAGCACTTGATTTTTAGGCTCACAGGCTTATATTTTAGCTCTCTGACTTTAATCAGTTGTAATTGGAAGCTAAATAACTAAGTCTTAAGGATTAAATTTAGGGGCTAGCACTGCCTGTAGTGGGTAAAGATGCTGCCTGCGGCCTTGGCATCCGATCTGGGTGCTGGTTCTAGTCTTGGTGGATACACTTCCAATCCAGTTCTCTGCTAATGTGTCTGGAAAATCAGCGGAAAATGGCCCAAGTACTTGGGCTCCTGCACCAATGTAGGAAACCTCCTGGCTCCTGGCTTCAGATCCGGCCATTGTGGCCCTTTGGGGGAGTGAACCAGCAGATAGAAGACCTCTCTCTCTGTCTCTCCCTCTCTCTCTCTTTCTCTGTAAGTCTGCTTTTCAAATAAATAAATCTTAAAAAAAGAATTAAATTTAAACAAGCTCCAGATAAAAGCCCAATAGACTTCTAGACAAAATGCAACATTTTAGTTCTGAAGCATAGCTATTTCCACATTCAGAGGTCATTTCCGATTTATTTGAATTAAAAAAAAAATATTTGAAAGAAGAGAGTTACAGACAGAAAGACAGAGATCTCGTATCTGCAACTTCACTATCCAAATACCTGTAACAGCTGGGGCTGGACCTAGCTGGAGACAGGAGCCAAGAACTCTTTCTGGGTCCCCCATGTAAGTGGCAGGAATCCAATCATTTAAACCATCACTAATTCCATCTTCTAATTCCAACTTTCTGCTAATATAGGTCCATTTACTCTAAAGTTTCCTTTTATTTCATTAAGTTATGATACAAAACTATTTGAATACAATTATTTGTCATTGTGGACTGTCTAAAGATGAAGTTTGGCAAATCAGTATTGCAACTGAAATTTAAAAGAGAAAAATAAAGAAGAAAGAATGGATAAACTAATTGATTGGCATGGAAATTGTATAATATTTTCAGAGTTCCCAATGTAAAAGCTCCTTTAGAGTTAGAATCTCTTGATATATTTATTTCAGTATCTCCAGTGCTTAGATGGGGGGGCAAGATAATGTGGACACTTAACATTTAATCAGTAGTTGCTCAATATTAAATGTATGCTATTTCTCTTGATAAATGACAATAAGATAACATTTTTTCCAAAAATAATTTTTAATTAGATCAAATGATTCCTTAGTATTTTCTGATCTTAAATGTTGCGGTCCTCAAATCTGTAGTCATTCTTTGGATGTCAATGTAGTGCTTGGGAAATCTTCATTAATTATTTCGTGTCATTCCCTGGCAGTCCTGCCAAATAATGAAGATGACAATAGCTCAAAACTCCCAACTTCTAGGGAGATTGCCAGGAAGGAATCTTAGTGGGACAAAGGACCACATTTTATCTTAAAGCATTGTTAGAGGGCTTGCTAAGTACTTTTTGATAAAAAGGAAAATGGTAGGAGAAAAGAGGAGATTAAACTTACACACAAAAACATCAAGATAGAATCAGAATTTTAGAGTTAGAGGGAAGCATGAGATCACATCACCATAGCAACTGAAGCTGAAGCTGCCTGCACACCCTCAGAGGTTATCCAGACTCTTACTTTACAGATGAGAAAATGGAAACAGGAACTTTTAGAGCTTAAGGGATTTTTCTAAGATTACAGAACTAGCTTGCTTTACAGCTGAAATTAGAACTCAAATATCCTTCTCTGCTTAAAAAGAATTCATTTGTGTATATGTGCAAAACTGACATTTTGAGATGTGATTATTATTTACAGCTCTTGTGTCTACTGTTGAGGAAGTGTTTTTTCTTACTATTTGTTGAATTCTTTACTTAGTGGAGGTTAAATTTATGACTATAAAATAAACTGAACATATGTCATTGTAAAGATTAAAAAAAAAAGAATAAGAAAGGAAGGAGGAGGGAGGGTTGGAACATGGGGCAGGAGGGAGGGTAGGGTGGAAAGTATCACTATATTCCTAAATTTGTATATATGAAGTACAAGAAAATTTTTCACCTTATGTAAGTAAAAAAAAGTGGAAAAAAGAGAATAAATTTATAACGACTTCTGCCCAGCTGTGTTATTCTCCATTACGTGGTGTTAAGTGTCAAATGCAGTTTTGCTCTCAGGAGACAAAGTGCTCATCAAGAAAGCACTTTTAGTGGGTGGAGGTTCTTAACTTTAGTTTATCATGCAAAAGATTATTTCAAGAATGAATCGAATAAAGGTTGACAAAAATGTTAGTGGACAAATGTTGAGAAAAAAATCTAAGTGTGGTCTAAGTTTTTAATAATATATTCATGTTTAAAAGAAAATATATTTTGTGAGTAATAGAAATATTATGTTATGGGAAAGAGAAATATGCTTGTAGTGAAGCTCAGGCTACAGTATTTTCTCAATTCACTGGATTATTTTTAAAGCAAAATTTTTAAAAGTATGTTAATGAAAAGCATTTATTACCTCTGCACTTGGAGGCTGGTTATGCCCACAGAACTGATTTCTTTTAAGGAAAAATTATAGGACTAACCATTTGCAACTGAAACAAATGTGTGTGTGTGTGTGTGTGTGTATGTGTATGTGTACATATATGACTTTACATTTTATTAATATATTATCGGTATTATCGGTGTTAATACAAGTAAACAGTTAACATGTTCTAGCACCATACATAATCTTTAATCTAAATGTATCTGGGGGGAATTTACTCACCTAACACACTTCTGGATCTGTGGTCGTCTGGGATGCTCTTCTGAGGACAACATTTTTTCATGAATGGCAAACAAACCTCCAATCATGATATGTCCTGGAGAAGTGGCAGCCACGAAGTCATCAGGCATCTGGCAAGGCTGGGAAGTAGCAAGAATAATCACAAAGCAGATCGTTAGTGTAGTTAATAATGCCATATTTTGTTCTCACTTGCTCAGTTCATGTGAGTGCTTAGGAATCATTCAGCTCACAGAGTGACAACAAGATGCCTATTTCTCCCGCGAACACACTGTAAGGTATAGACCAGTGTCAGGGGTCAGAAGCACTCAGTATTCAGATACTTGATGATAGTCAAAACAGTCCTTTCACCACTAAACATATCGTATTCTAACACTCCATTGTTAGAAATGTTGATTGCAGTCATGTTAGGTAAAAGCTGAAAGAATCATAAACACAGTTCTCACTGTAAGAGTACTCTCTTACTCTGGAGATATGTCAAGGGCTTTGAGTCATGTTGGCATTTCTTTTGAAGCTGAATGTGAATCTTTGGGAAGAAGCAGTTTGGGAAAGTTTTCTCACTTTAGACATGGACATTTCTGCATTTCCAAAGGTATCACATTCAAGGCACAAATGATTCAATAGTTTATCAGCTGTTTAGAAAAAAATACATCCTGCTTTTATTCTTCTGTAAAAGTTCTGTTTAAAAAAAAAAATAAAAGTAAGGCCATTGTTTTGGCTTAGCAGGTAAAGCCGCTGCCTCTGAAGCCAGCATCCCATTTGGGTGCTGGTCAGGTCAGAAATGCAACTCTGGGACCAGGGGCACAGAATACTGCCTCAGCACACAAGAAAAGTTGTAGTCAAGTGAGATTTGACATCTATTTTATTTTATTTATTTTAATTTTTAATCAATTTTAACATGTCCTATGTGTTTTGTAGATAAAATTCTTTTTTCAATCTTTATTTTTTTTTTTAAAATTTTAAGGTAAGTGAACACATCTCACTTATTTCATATATGCAGATTTAGGAACATAGTGATACTTCCCACCCCACTCTCCCTCCAGCCCACACTCCAACCCCTCCTTCTCTTTCCTTTTTTATTCCTTCCCTTAATCTTATAAGATTAACCATAAACTAAGTAAATAGTTTAACAAATAGTAAGAAGAAAAAAACACTGTTCCTCAATAGTAGAGACAAGGGCTGTAGTAATCATTGAATCTCAAAATGTCAATTTCAGTAATATACATTACTTTTTTGGTACTCTATTAGTTATCACAGATCAGAGAAAACATATGGTATTTGTCTTTTTGGGACTGGCTTATTTCACTAAGTTAACGTTTTCCAGTTGCATCTATTTTGTTGCAAAAGAAAAGATTTCATTGTTTTTTACCACTAAGTAGTGGCCCATACCATACACACACACACACACACCCCATACCATTCATCAGTTGATGGACATCTGGGTTGATTCCATATTTTAGCTATTGTGAATTGAGCTACAATACACATGGAGGTACAGATAACTCTTTAACATGCTGATTTGATTTCTTTTGGGTAAAATCCCAGGAGTGAGATTGCTAAGTCATATGATAGATCTATTTTCACCTTTCTAAGGTATCTCCATAGTGTCTTCCACAATGGCTGTTACTAGTATACATTCCCACTAACAGTGAATTAGGGAAACTTTTCCCCCACATCTTCACCAGCATTTAATGTTTTCTTGATTTCTATATGACAGCCATTCTAATTGGGGTGAGGAAAAACCTCATTGAGGTTTTGATTTGCATTTCCCTGTTGGCTAGTGATCAGGAGCATTTTTTATGTGTCTGTTGTCCTTTTGAATTTCTTCATTTGAAAAATACCTGTTCAAGTCCTTTGCCCATTTCTTAAGTGGATTGTTTGTTTTGTTGTTGTTGAGTTTCTTGAGCTCTTTTTAGATTCTGGATATTAATCATTTATTAGTTTGCAAGTATTTTCTCCCATTCTCTCAGTTGCCTCTTCACCATACTGTGTATTTCCTTTCCTTCTCAGCTTGATGTAATCCCATTTGTCAGTTTTGGCTTTGATTGCCTGTGCTTCTGGGTTCTTTTCCAAGAAGTCTTTGCCTATGTCAGTATCTTGCACAGTTTCCCCAATGTTCTCTCTAGTAATTTGATGGTATCAGGTCATTGATTTAAATCCTTGATGCTTTTTGAGTTGAATATAAAGTTTAAGGCTGTGATCTTGTTTCATAGCTTCTGCATATGAAGATTCAATTTTCCCAGCACCATTTGTTGAAGAGAGTATCTTTTCTCCAGGGATTGATTATAGCTCCTTTGTCGAAGATTAGTTCGTAGTAGATATGCGGATTGATTTCTGGAGTGTCTATTTTGTTTCATTAGTCTACATGTTTATTTTTGTTTCAATACCAGGCTGTTTTGATTTTAACTGCCTTGTAGTACATCTTGACATCTAGTATTGTGCTGTGTCTGAATTTGTTTTTGCTTTGTAAGATTGCTTTTTAGCTGTTCAGGGTATTTTCTATTTCTATATAAATTTTAGCATCATTTTTTCTAAAACTGAGAAGAATGTCTTTTTTGTTTTAATTAGGATAGCATTGAATCTGCAAATTTTTTTGATACTATGGGTGTTTTGATGATATTAACTCTTACAATCCACAAACATGGAAGATTTTTCCATTTTAATATCTTCTATTTCTTTGTTTAATATTTTGTAATTTTCACCATAGAGATCTTTCATCTCCTTGGTTATTTATATTTTAAGGTATTTCATTTTTTTGTAGCTATTATTAATGAGACTGATCTTACAACTTCTTTCTCAACTATGGCATTGTCTATGTATGCAAAGACTATTGATTTTTTGTGTGTTAATTTTATATTATCTGACTTTACCAAACTCTCTTAGGAATTCCAATATTCTCTTAGTGGAGTTTTTTGGTTCCTCTATGTATAGAATCATGTCACCTGTAAATAGGGATAATTTGACTTCCTCTTTTCCAATTTTGATACCCTTTATTTCTTTCTCTTCCCTACTATTCCTGCTAAAACTGCCAGTACTATATTGAATAAGAGTGGCAAAAGTGGACAGCCTTATCTTGTTCCACATCTGATGCTTTCAGTTTTTCCCCATTCAGTACAATACTGGCAGTTTTTAATAAATAACTTTTATAATTTTGAGGAATGATCCTTCTATACCTAATTTGTGGAGGGTTTTTGTCATGAAGGGGTGTTGAATCTTATCAAATGGTTTCTTTGCATCTATTGAGATGACCGCATGATTTTTGTTCTTTATTTTATTGAAGTGATTTATAACATTTATTGATTTGAGAATGTTGAACCACCCTTATATTTCTGCGATAAATCCCACTTAATCATGATTATGATCCTTTTGATTTGGTTTTGGATTTAATTTGCTATTATTTTGTAGAGAATCTTTGCATCTATGTTCATTAATGTTATAGGTCTGTAGTTTTCTTTGTTTCATGTCTTTGGTTTTGGTATCAAAATGATACTGGCCTCATAAAAAGAGTTTCGCAGAGTTCCATCATGTTCAATATTTTCGAATATTTTGAAAAATATTGTAATTACTTCCTCTTTGAATGTTTTGTGGAGTTCAACAGTAGAGCTATCATGTCCTGGACTTCTCATTTATGGTAGATTTTATTTATTGCCTCAATCTCATTGCTTGTTATGGCTCTGTTTATATTGTCTGTATCTTATTGATCTTGATTGGTTTTATGTAGCCAGGAATTTATGCATTTCTTTGAGTTTTTCCAGTTTATCAGCATAAAATTCTTCATAGTAATTTATTATGATCTTTTGTATTTTAGTGGTATAAGCTGTAATGTCTCTTTTTGCATATCTAATTTTATTTATTTAAGTTTTTTCTCTTTTTTTGGTTAGTCTGGTTAAAGGTTTGAATATTTTGTTTATCTTCAAAAAAACCAACTTTTCATTTTGTTGCTCTTTTGTATTTAACTTTCAATTTCTTTTATTAATGTTCTGATTCTTATTATTTCTCACCTCCTGTTGATTTGGGGTTTGGTTTGTTTGTATTTTTCTAAGTTTTCAAGATGCATCATTAGATCTTTAATTTGAGAGTTTTTTTAATCAGTGTAAGCACTTAATGATATGAACTTTCCTCTTAATACTGCTTTTGCTGTATCCCACAGGTTTTGATATATTCTATCTTCCTTTTAATTTATTTTAAGAAAGTTTTTGAATTTCTTTTTGGTATTTTCAATGACTCATTGATCATTCAATAGCATGTTACTTAATTTCCAAGCATTTGTGAATGTTCTATTGTTCTTCTTTCTGTTGATTTTTAGTTTTATTCCTTTATGGTCTGAGAAGATACATGGTACAATTTCAATTTTTTAATATTTATTTTATTTATCTGAAAGTTAGAGTTACAGAGTGAGAGAGAGAAGAAGAGAAAGAAAGAGAAAGAGAGAGATCTTCCATCCCTTGGTTCACTTGCCATTGGCTTCAATGACCGGAGTTTCATCTGGATCTCCCACATGGTTGCAGAGCCCAAGGACTTATGCCATCTTTCCCTGCTTTTTCTAGAGCTGTATGGGAAGTGGAGCAGTGGGGACTCAAAGCAGCACCACTATGGGATGCCAGCATTGTAGCTTAACTTATTAGGCCACAGATCCATGCCTGATTTTATCCTTTTAAGTTTGCTGAGACTTGATTTGTGGACTAATTCGTGGTCTATTCTAGAAAATGTTCCATACGCTGATTAGAAGAATATATATTATGTAGCTATTGAGTGAAATTCCTGTAAACGTCTGTTAGGTCCATTTGCTCAATAGTATGTTTCAACTCTGTTGCATCCTTACTGACTTTTTGTTGATGATCTGTCCATTGATGAGAGAGGAATATTGAAGTCACACTATAACTCTCCCTTTTTTTTCATTTTCATTTCTCTTTATATACAGAAGATCAGTTTAGCATACATTAAGTAAAGATTTCAACAGTTTGCTCCCACACAGAAATATAAAGTGAAAAATACTGTTTGAGTACTAGTTATAGCATTAAATCTCAATGTACAGCACACTAAGGACAAAGATCCTACATGAGGAGTAAGTGCACAGTGACTCCTGTTGTTGACTTAACAAATTGACACTCTTGTTTATGGCATCAGTAATCACCCTAGGCTCTTGTCATGAGCTGCCAAGGCTATGGAAGCCCCCTGAGTTCACTGACTCTGATAATTTTTAGACAAGGCCATGGTCAAAGTGGAAGTTCTCTCCTCCCTTCAGAGAAAGGTACCTCCTTCTTTGATGACCCGTTCTTTCCACTGGGATCTCACTGTGGAGATCTTTCATTTAGGTTTTTTTTTTTTTTTTTTTCCCAGAGTGTCTTGGCTTTCCATGCCTGAAATAGTCTCATGGGCTTTTCAACCGGATCTGCATGCCTTAAGGGCTGACTCTGAGGCCAGAGTGCTGTTTAGGACATCTGCCATTCTATGGGTCTGCTGTGTATCTCACTTCCCATGTTGGATCATTCTCTCCCTTTTTGATTCTATCAGCTAGTATTTGCAGACACTATTCTTGTTTATGTGATCCCTTTGGTTCTTAGTCCTATCATTATGATCAATTTTGAACAGAATTTGACTTGATCAGCCCTCACCCTGACTGTTGATGAGCAACTTGATATGTTATCCCTCTTAGTATTTTTTTTTGTTTGTTCTACTTAATACTTTTGGTTGAATACTGTAATCAATATACAATTCTTCTTAAGTGCTGAAACTTAACTGAAAAGTGATCACTGTTAAATATAAGAGTGGGAATAAGAGAGGGAAGAGATGTGCAATTCGGGACATGCTCAAGCTGACTTATCTCAAACGGTAGAGTTAGAAACATACCAAGGGATTCCAATTCAATCCCATCAAGGTGGCATGTACCAATGCCATCTCGCTAGTCCCAGTGATCAATTTCTAACTCTCCCTTTAAGTCTAATAGTGTTTATTTATCTGTATGACCTTGTGTTGGGTACATATATATTTATGATTGTCATGTTTTCCTGCTGAATCAAATCTTTTATCAAAACAAAATGTCCTTCTTTCTCTCTCTCTTTTTAAAAGATTTATTTTATTTTAAAAGCAAAGTTAGAGAGAGGGATACACACACACACACACACACACAGAAAGAGAGAGAGAGAGAGAGAGATGACTGAAATGGCCAGAAGAGGGCCAGACCAAAGCTAGGAGCCAGGAGCTTCTTCTGGGTCTCTCACATGGCCTTGGATAATTTTCTGCTGCTTTCCTAGGTGCATTATCAGAGAGCTGGATCAGAAGTGGAGCAGCCAGGACTTGAACCCAAGCCCATATGAAATGTTGGTCCAATAGGTGGAGACTTATTCCACTATGCCACAGTTCCTGCCCCCCTTCTTTATCTCCTTTTAAAGATTTTGATATAAAATGTGTTTTATTTGATATCAGTATAGATATGCCTACTCACTTTTGGTTTCCATTTTTCTGGTACCTTCCAAACCTTCTTTTCCAAACCTTCACTTGTGGTCTGTATGTATCTTTTTTTGTGAAGTGAGTTTCATATAAAGCAGCATATGATGGGATCACAATTTTTTATCCATTCAACCAAACTAAGTCTTTAGGTTGGTGAATTTAATTCATTTACATTCAAGGTTAGCAGTAATAAATGAGAAATAATACCTGTCATTTTGTTGATAGGATAATGATTCTACCTTGCTCTGCTAGTGAATTCGATGGTGTCATGTCAGAATAATGAGTTCTATCTCCTTAGTAATATATTCATTCATGTCACTCATTGAGTTCCTCATTTCTTTAATCTATCTGTATTCTCTTGCATTTCATTGAGTTTTTTTTATATTCATTATTTTGAATTCTGTATTTATCATTTCACAGATTTCCTTCAGTTCAGGATTTAATTCTGGAGGATTATCGTGTTCTTTTGGAGACATCATGTCTCCTGTGTCCCTATATTGATGTCTGCCCATCTGGTGTAGTCATCCCTTCTTCTTTATGGAGTAGGCTTGTTTGTAACAGAGTTTGTGGTTTAGCTGGAATGCAAGGTATCACTTGGCTTGTTGCTTTGACTTTGGTTCTAGGTGAGCCAAAAGGTGTAGTCTCTGAGTGATTTCTTTTGTCTTTTCATTGTCAACTGTGTCTATAAATGACACAGTGGTCTAGTCTGCTGCAGTTCCTAGGGATACAAGTGTGGCTTTGAGAAGAATAAGGGTTTTCTTATCTTTAGCCCACAGAGAGTTCAGACATCTATCATATTTTAGCACTTTTTTTTTCCTTCCTGTTATTCCAGCATCACACTCACTCTCCTCCATTGCATATTCCATTTTCATAGATAATTAAATTTCATGCTATTATTTGTACCTGACATAAGATTTTTAAAACAGAAGCATCTTCAAGGTTAAAGGAATAGGACCAGTGTTGTGGTGAAACATGTTAAGTTGCTGCCTGCAATGCCAGCATCTCATATGGGCCTTTGTTTGAGTCCCAGCTGTTTTAGTTCTGACCCAGCTCCCTGCTGATGTACCTGGGCAAGCAGTGGAGGACAGCCCAAGTCCTTGGCCCCTGTGCACATGTGGGAGGCCCAAATGAAACTCTTGGCTTGTGGATTCATCCTGGTCCAGT